AAAAAAAAAAGAAGAAAAGAAAAGAAAAGAAAGAAAGAAAAAGAATAGAAAAGAAAAACTAGCTAGGTGTTGTGGTAGGTATCTATAGTCTCACCTACTTGGGAGGCCGACGTAGGAGGATCACTTGAATCCAAGAGTTTGAGGTTACTGTGAACTATGATTCCACAGCACTCTACCCTGGGCAACAGAGTGAGACTCCGTCTCAAATAAATAGATAAATAAATAAATGGCAAAGACTCATGGTCTAGAAGCATCCAGGCCTCCTCCTGCCTGCAGACCCACTTGGCCAGGGGTGTAGGAGGAGTCTTCAGTTTCCCTGTCTGAAAACAGGAACAATGCCATCTCCAGAGGCCAAATGAGCCTGTTAGGAAGTCAGCTGGCACAGTGCTGGCACATAGGAAGTGCCTTGGTCAGCGGGGGCCCTAGGGATTGAGCAATCCCTGTCGTTGGCACATCTCTTTATCAGGACCACAATGGGGAACTAAAAGGTGGGGGTAAGGAGTGGCCAAAATGGACAGGCTGGTCTAGAGATAGAATACGGCCCCTGATAAAGATGTTTTGAGCACATAACAGCCTCAACCTGTCTCCACCTTGGAATGTGGAGGAAACAGTTTTTGCCACCTTGGTACAAGGTGAGGATTAAAGAAGTTGATTTGTGTCAAGGCCATAAAACAATGCCTGGCACACAGCAAGCATTCAATAAACACTCTTATTGTCATATCCAGAATGATTTCCTCTAGCATCTCAAGCAAGGTGATGGGTAATGTCACCTGGGTGCCAAATGTCCCTGCTTGTGGCAAGCAGAGTTCTATGACAGCCCTGGAGATGCACCTTGTCACAGTCCCCACCTTGGAGGCAGGATATCACCTCCAGCTATAGGTTTTGTTCTGTGGCAGATGTAGGGGAACTCTGCAAATATAATTTAGAGCCTTGGGCAGTGTGGGTGGGCCTGGCCCAATCAGGCAAAGCTTTGAACTGCTAGCCTCAAGCAATCATCCTGCCTTAGCTCCCAGAGTGCTGGGTTTACAGGTATGAGCCACCATGCCCAGCTGGGTGGGACACTGAAAGAGGGTTGAGGGCTTCTCTGAAGTGAGAGGTTCCTTTGCTAGTCTCGAAACAGAGGTCAGCCCTATGAGCTCCACAAGTGCAAAAAAAAAAAAGAAAATTCTGCCACCAACCATGTGAGCACAGAAGAGGGACCCCAGCCCTGACCAACCCCGAAAATGCAGCCTTAAGACAGACCCTGAGGCAGGAACCCCCAGCTAAACTTCTAAATCTTGACTCACAGAAACTGAGAGATGATATAAACATGTGTCATCCCAAGCCACTAAATTTGTGATAACTTGTTACATAGTGCCAGCCCACTGAGCCACTATTTGACAACTGTGCCAGGGACCGTGGTTAGGGATTTTAGAGGTTCCTGGCCTGGCCTGCCCTACCCTACCCGGGGGGTACCTGAGTGCTGTGAGTTCCACCTTCTCGTGGTCGTTGGTGACCAGCTCTGGGATGAGGCTGAGGTGGGAGATCTGTGTGGCAGCCCAGCCAAACTGGAAGACGACAATGAAGGGCCCATAGTAAAGGAGGGCAGCCCACTCAGGCGTGGCCACCCTGCAGCCCAGGCAAGGGCTGAAGATGAAGGGGAAGGACAGCAGGACGCAGATGGTGCCTGTGGACAGGGAGACGGAAGGACAGATCACAGGATTGTCCCACACCAGCCTAGGGATCCAAGTCTTATGGCCCCTTGTAACAAAGGGGGAAACCAAGGTAGAAAGATCTGGTGCCTCTCTAAGGTCACACAGCCAAGCAGGATAAAGTGGCCAGGCCTGGTTGGGCGCGGTGGCTCACTCCTGTAATCCCAGCACTTGGGAGGCTGAGGCGGGTGGACTGCCTGAGCTCACAGGTTCAAGACCAACACAAGCAAGAGTAAAACCCCATCTCTATAGCTGGGCGTTGTGGCAGGTGCCTGTAGTCCCAGCTACTTGGGAGGCTGAGGCAAGAGAACTGCTTAAGCCCAAGGTTGGAGGTTGCTGTGAGCTGTAACACTACGGCACTCTACCAAGGGTGATCAAATAAGACTTTGTCTCAAAAAAAAGGAGGGAGGGTGAGGCCTCCACCTACCACCAGTCAGATGGGGAAACTGAGGCAGTTGACGAGTGAGTGAGAAGGGACAGGAACAGGTCCTCTCCCTGCCAGCCTTGGGGAGGGTAAAGTGAGGAAAGTGACCCAGAGTGACTGAGGCCAGCCAGCAGGTACAAAGAGTACAGTAGGATTCCCCAAAGAACTGCCTACCACAGAGACACAATTTATACCACAGATTCTCTTCTTCCCATGCATAGCTGGAGGCCTATTTCTCTCTGCTCAGTCACTGTCAAGTGTCCTATGGGAGTCATGGCTCCCTTCCCAGGCCCCACTGTTCCGTGAGCTCCTAAGGGGGCCTCTCCCTGGAACACTTGGGTATCCTGGCTCCTGGGGACAGAGTTTAGAAAATAAGAGCCTGCCACTATCTATCAAGACCTGCTCTGGGCGAAACTCTCCCTGTCTATGTGCTGGATAAACCCCAATACCTCAGAATGAAAGCAGGGTCCTCCCTGCAGCCCACCAGGCCCTGCACAACCTGTCTCATCCCTTCCCTACCCTCCCCTTCCTTACCTGCTCCAGCAGACATAGCCTGTAACATGCCAGGGACAGTCCTGCCCCAGGACCTTTGCATAGGCTGTGCCCTCTGCCCAGTTCACTCCCTCATTTCTTTCACGTTTGTGCTTGAGGATCACCTGCTCAGAGAAGCCCTCCCAGAATAGCCCAGTCACTAGCAGTCCCAAATAGGCCTGAGACAATCTTTCCTGAGCCCTGCTCTGTCTACTTCATATCCATCAGCACACCTGGAAATTTTGTCTGCTTGTTTCCTGCCTGCTTCCCTCATCAGACAGTAGGCTCCATGGGGAGTGGGTAACAGGTCCTTCTGAATAACTTCCATGTACCCAGCACCTAGCACAGTTACCTTTTTAAAATCATTTTTTATTTATTTATTTTGCAGGTTTTGGCCAGAGCTGGGTTTGAACCCGCCACCTCCGGCATACAGGGCTGGGGCCCTACTCCTTTGAGCCACAGGCACTGCCCTGTAGAAAGAAAGGGCTACACCAAGGTTACCTTTTGAATGAGTAACAATAATCACAGACTTATCCGGTGAGGTGGTTCACATTTTAATCCTAGCACTATGGGAGGCTGAGGCAGGTGGATTGCCTGAGCTCACAGGTTTGAGACCAGCCTGAGCCAGAGTGAGACCTCATCTCTTACAAAAAAAAAAAAAAAACAGCCAGGTGTTGTGGGTACCTATAGTCCCAGCTACTTGAAAGTCTGAGGCAAGAGAATTGCTTGAGCCCAAGAGTTGGAGGTTGCTGTGAACTATGAGGCCACAGCACTCTACCAAGGGCAACAAAGTAAGACTCCATCTCAAAAAATAAAATAAAATAATAATCATGGACTCCTGACATGGTGTTCATAGTACAGGGGTTACAGCGCTGGCCACATGCACCTAGACTGGCGGGTTCAAACCAGCCCGGGTCAGCTAAACAACAATGACGTCAACAACAACAACAACAACAAACAGCCAGGAGTTGTGGCAGGTGCCTGTAGTCCCAGCTACTTGGGAGGCTGAGGCAAGAGAATCGCATAAGACCAAGAGTTTGAGGTTGCTGTGAGCTGTGACGCCACAGCACTCTACTGTGGGCAACATAGTTAGACTCTGTCTCAAAAAAAAAAAAAAAAAAACACCGTGGACTCCATATACAGCCCAAAGGGGTAGGTGTTATTATCCCCATTTTCCAGGGAAGGAAACTGAGGCCCACTGAAAGCCAGACTGGCTCTGCACACTGCTCCTCCCAACCTGGAGACTGGAGGGGCCTGAGCCAAGTTGGCAGCTGGACTTCCTCCAGATCCAGAGGTGACCTCATGCCTGAGAGCTTGGGCCTGCCCCTTCAGCCTCAGGATTGGGAAATGAAACCAAAACCACCCTCAACTATTTCTTTAAGGGAACTGGTGCCTACAAGGGTATGAGCAGATTCCTAGGGACATAAAGGCTACCTGTGATAGAGGGGGTGGTCACAAACTGTGGACTCTAGTCTGGAGAATGTCCCTTGTTGGCCAGACGCCACCTGCCCACTGACCAGTCTGGGTTAACCATTGTTGGAGCTAGGTTGCCTGGGTGGGGAACCTTGGGCAAGTGACTGTGTCTATTTGGGCTTCAGTTTCCAGAAAACAGGGGTAATGAAAATTCCTGAAAATGTGAAGATTAAGGGTTAATGTGTGGAACAAGCAGGAGGTCCTACAACTCTGAGTCACTTCCTGCCTCAGCAGATTCAAAGCCAAGACCTTTCCACAGCTGTTTTCACTATTTAAAATACATCACCACCACACCCCTCACTCCTAGTCATCCTTCAAGACCCTAAAACTAATATCCCCTCTTCCTTCCGAAGCCTTATCTTGCTATCTGCCCAAGTCCACAGGTGTCCATGGTCACAGAGGATCCTCTCTCAGGGTTGTAGGAGTAAGCCCTGAGGGCCTGTTAAGGGATGGAGTCCATCTACAGACTCAGAGGTGAAAAAGAGAAGTGGGGACTGTTACCAGGATGAACTTTACTCAAGTTGACTAACCAGTGTGAAGAGGGGCTGCCCTGGTTTCTTAGCTCAACAAGTGCAGCTGGGTCCTCCCCTGTGCCCACCCTTAGGTAGGGAAAGGACAAAAGTAGAGGCCTCAGTGTCTGATTGGGCACCCATCCCCTGGTTCACGTATAAGGCAAAAACATAAAGCCTTTGGTCCTTTTTTCTTTTCTTTTCTTTTTTTTCTTTTTTTGAGACTTACTTTGCCACCCTGGGTAGAGTGCCATGGCTGGCGTCACAGCTAACAGCAACCTCAAATTCTTGGGCTTAAGTGATTCTCCTGCCTCAGCCTCCCAAAGTAGTTAGGACTACAGGGCCTCACAACACCTGGCTATTTTTTTTTTTTTTTTGAGACAGAGCCTCAAGCTGTCCCCCTGGGTAGAGCGTCGTGGCATTACAGCTCACAGCAACCTCCAACTCCTGGGCTCAAGCGAGTCTCCTGCCTCCGCCTCCCAAGTAGCTGGGACTACAGGCGCCTGCCACAACGCCCGGCTATTTTTTTTTGGTTGCAGCCGTCATTGTTGTTTGGCGGGTCCAGGCTGGGGATTCGAACCCGCCACCTTAGGTGTACGTGGCTGGCGCCTTAGCCGGTTGAGCTATAGGCGTCGAGCCACACCTGGCTATTTTTGAAGATGAGGTCTCGCCCTGGCTCAGGCGAGTCTCAAACCTGTGAGCTAAGGCAATCCACCCGCCTCAGCCTCCCAAGTGCTAGGATTACAGGCGTGAGCCACCTCCCCTAGCCCTTCAGTCCTTTATTTACAAAGGTGCACCCAGGCCCTCTCCTCAGACTCCTAGAACGCTTCCCACTTATGAAAGGAGCACACAGTCAGGCCTAGAGGTTCTAAGCTGGTAATGGTTCCACTCTCGGGCCTTTTCATATGCAGTGGCCCCTTCACAGGGCTGGTTCATCTCCTCAGAGGGGTCTCTTCCACTCAGGAATTCTCTCCTTTGACTTTGTGTTTGCCTGGGAGATGCTGGGCTCAGCTCTGCAACCAATCTGTCTATTAAAGAGGAAGGGTTAACTGTTCCCCTTTGTTCCTGTCTGCCACAGCCTCAAGTAACCCAGAGACAGCCTATCAGACTTGAAAATCCAGCCTCTCGGCTATAGCTACTGCAATGCCAGCTACCCTAAGGCCACCCAGAAATCTGCTCATCTTTGTAAAAAAGTGTTCCTCATAAGAGAATTCTAAAACCTCTGCCCTCAGTTGTTGCTCATTAGGGAGGCTTCTATTCACTTCCCTGGCTCCCAAACACCTGCCACCCAGAGCAGGCACATCTGTAAGTATCATGGCCAGGGATAATCTCTAGGCGCTGGGCCAGGGAAAGAAGCACCCTGCAAGCTTATCAATGTGCTCAGGGCAGGATGACCCAGCCTGATGGGTGGGCCTCCTGCCCTTTAAGACAGTCCTCTCTAATCAGGGTGCCTCCCAGACATTGAGGATCTTCTAACTCCAGTCAGCAAGAAGGATGCGAAGCAAGAACAGGACATAGACCCCCACCCCTCAAATCGGAGCTCCCAGGACAACACACCCAAGCCAGCACCTCCAAGCACCAGGTTGCCAGAGATGAGAAAAGGGTGCTCTGGGGGAACAGACAGAGGGGGCTCTAGGAAGCCTGACCCCTCTCTTAGGCAGAGCTGTCCAAATGGTCACCCAATGGAAAGGGAGGTCAGCGGAGCAGTCAGACCCAACTGAGAGAGGGTTCTGTGTGCCCCTGGGGTTCAGAAAAAGGGAATTCACACAAAGCATCCTGGGAACAATCAGATGGACAGGGCCCTGCAGGTCAGACAATAGCCAAGAGGCAGACAGGGCTGGATGCAGTGGCTCAAGCCTGTAATCCTAGCACTCTGAGAGGCCAAGGTGGGTGGATTGCTTGAGCTGAGGAATTTGAGACTAGCCTGAGAAAGAGGGAGACCTAGTCTCTACTAAAAAAAGAAAAAACTACACACTTGTTATGGTGGGTGCCTGTAGTCCCAGCTACTTGGGAGGCTGAGGCAAGAGGATCCTTAGAGTCCAAGAGTTTAAGGTTGCTGTGAGCTAGGACGCTACAGCTCTCTACCCAGGAAAACAAAGTTAGACTCTGTCTAAAAAAAGGGGAGGGGAGTCGCCTGTGGCTCAGTGAGTAGGGCACCAGCCCCATATACTGGAGGTGGTGGGTTAAAACCTGGCCTCTGGCCCAAAAAAAAAAAGCCAGTAAGGTAGCTCATGTCTGTAATCCCAGCATTCTGGTAGGCCTAGGCAGGTGGACTGCCTGAGCTCACAGGTTTGAGACCAGACTGAGCAAGAGAGAGACTCCGTCTCTAAAAATAGCCGGGCGCTGTGGGGGCGGGGGGCCTGTAGTCCCAGCTACTTGGGAGGCGGAGGCAAGAGAATCACTTGAGCCCAAGAGTTTGAAGTTGCTGTGAGCGATGACGCCACTGCACTCTATCAAGGGAGACTAAGTGGGTCTCTGTCTCAAAAAAAAAAAAAAAGAGAGAAAGAGAGACAGAGATAGATAGGGAAGGCTGGGCCACAAGGCAGACAGGGAGGATATAGGGCCACTGAGCAGAAAGATGGGGGAGGCTCATGGGTCAGGCAGATAGAGGAGGGAAGCTCGGGCCACGTACAGACCTACAGAAGGGGGGGAGTCTCAGCCTATGGGACATGGAGAAGGGAGGCTCAGATCATGGACAGACGGACAGAGGGGGAAGCTCAGGCCATAAAAAGACAGAGGGGGATGGCTGACACCATGGACAGAGGAGGGAGGCTCAGGTCACGGTGCAGGCAGATGTGGGGGAGAATCAGGCCACAGGTAAACAGACAGAGGATGCAGGGACAGACAGAGGCTCACGAGTGGGAGAGTCTAGGGTGGAACTGCTAAAGAGCTGGTGGTGGCCGCGGCGGGCACTTACCGACTAGGTGCCAGGCCTTGCGCGGGCCATAGCGCGCGCAGCAGCCTGCGGCGCGGTCAGCCTCATAGCCCACGAGGGGCGTACACAGCCCATCCGCCACCTGGCCCAGCAGCAGCAGCAGGCCAGCGCCACGTGAACTGTAGGCGCTCACCGAGTGCAGGTAGAGCAGCAGGTAGGTGAACCACATGGACGCGCACAGGTCGTTGAGGAAATGGCCCACGGCGTAGCTGAGCCGCGCCAACAGGGACATCGGCCGCGGGGACGTCCCCGCCACAGCCGCTGGGGGCCCAGGGCCCATGGCGCCAAGCCGTGAGGACGCGCCACAACCAGGCACGTCGCGCGCTCCGCAGACGGGACCCTCACCTGGCGATGGCCCCGACTCTTGCGCGCCGGGTACCTAAGCGCCCAGTCCTCGCCCGACTCAGCTCAGCTGCTGCCGCAGAGACTGCTGCAGGAGAGATTGCGGCTCGGGCGGGGCGGGGCGGGGCGGCCTGAGGAATCCCGGCGAGCGGCGGCTACCTCCACCAATCGGAACCGCGACTCGGGACTTTCTAGCCAATCATCATGGAGGAGGCGTCGCCTCAGGGCTATCCGGGCCTCCATACTGCGCGCCCACGCGGTCCTAGCGCCCAGAGGATACAACCACTTTTAGGGTTTTCGGGGGCCCGGGACGGCAGGGAGTCTGTCTCCATCACCCGCAGACTAGGGAATGAAATAGAGAAGTGGCACCGCTGCCGCCCTCCCTGACTCTTGCCTCCAGGCCGCCCCACTCTGCGTCCCATTGAGGGCCGGGGAGGACGGGGTGGGATGGGGAGGAGATGAGGGTGAAGAGTCTTGAGTCCGATGTGGCCTTAGGATCCCGTGACTTCTTGGGCGGGACGCGGAGACGGCGTATTAGAACTAATTAATTTGCTATTAACGACATAATGGGATAATCATTATAATGATACCAGCTGGCATTTAACGAGCGTGCCAACTGCCAAGCATGCCCCACGTGGCGGAGGCGGGCGACAGGCTGGGGAGGAGACGTGCGATGCCCGGGAGCGCACAGTGAGTCAGGTGCGCGGAGTCAGGTGCATGTGACTCCGAGGCCACTGTCCTCGGCCTTCCTCCTCCCACTAACTGCCCTCCCACGTTGCAGCGGTTTCAAGTTCCTCCAAAGAATGGAAGCGCTTCCCCTCAAGTCCCTAAACCTCCTTCAGCGCTGTTTTCAGACGTCCTGGTCTACTGCTTCCCAGCTGTTCCACTTGGGACTAGTCCCTTAATCTAAGAAGACCTTGATCTCCCTAGCCACAGAATAGGAGTAATATAGCGGTGAGCTCCTACTTCCCTCTCACCCGGGAAGTAGGAGCTCAGAAAATACCAGTCTAATGCTTGAATGGTACAAATAGAGGCAGGGAAGCCAAAATGAAGAGTGAAATTGAGTCACAGGGACACACTTTATAAACCCTAGGCTCCAGCAGCCTCAGGGATACACAACTCCAACTCCTGTGCTGCCGCAGACTACACACTTTTATGAAAATAAGACAGAAAAATGGGTGAAGAGGGCGAATGGAGGCCAAGAGAGATAAAGTGAGCAGGGGAAGATGAGAGATATGAGGGCAGACTGCCTTGGAGGAGATGGAGGAGATAAAAGAATAATGAGAGATAAGAACCTCAATTCTTTCCTCCCTGTGTACACACTCCCCTTTAGAAATGAAAAATGACTTTCAAAAATACTAGCCCATGGCCAGGCCCAGGCTTGCAATCCTAGCACTCTGGGAGGACAAGGCAGGAGGATCCCTAGAAGCCAGGAGTTTGAGACCAGTCTGGGCAACATAGCAAGCTGTCTCTCTCTCTTTTTTTTTTTTTTTGCAGTTTTTGGCCGGGCCTGGGTTTAAACCCCCCACCTCCAGCATATGGAGCCAGCGCCCTAGTCCTTTGAGCCACAGGCGCCACCCATAGCAAGCTGTCTCTACAAACAAATTTAAAAATTAGCTGGGCAAGTCCCAGCTGCTTGGGAGGCTGAAGTGGAAGGATAGCTCAAGCTCAGGAGTTTGAGGCTGTAGTGAGCACTGCAGCCTGGGTGACAGAGTAAAACTCTGTCTTCAAAAAGAAAAAAAGGAGGCTCGGCGCCAACCACATACACTGAGGCTGGCAGGTTCAAACCCAGCCCGGGCCAGCTAAACAGCAATGACAACCTCAACAAAAAATAGCTGGGCATTGTGGTGGGCACTTGTAGTCCCAGCTACTTAGGAGGCTGAGGCAAGGGAATCGCTTAAGCCCAAGAGTTAGAGGTTGCTGTGAACTGTAACACCACCGCACTCTACCAAAGGTGACAAAGTGAGACTCTGTCTCAAAAAAAAAAACCAACCCAAGAGGGTGGCACCCATAGCTCAGTAGATAGGGTGCTAGCCACATACATGGAGCCACATACACGGGTTTGAACCTGGCCCAGGCCAGCTAAAATAACAATGACAACCACAACAAAAAAATAGCCAGGCATTGAGGCAGGGGCACCTATAGTCCCAGCTATTCGTGAAGCTGAGGCAAGAGAATTGCTTAAGCTCAAGAGTTTGAGGTTGCTGTGAGCTGTGACGACACAGCACTCTACTGAGGGCAACATAGTGAGACTCTGTCTCAAAAAAAAGGGGGGAAAAAAGGGTAGCACCTGTGGCTCAAGGAGTAGGGCACCAGCCCCATATACTGGAGGTGGCAGGTTCAGACCCATCCCTGACCAAAAGAAAAAAATTAGCCACTGGCCTATGCTTTTATTTATGTTCCTTGTTTCCTTCTTTTTTTTTTTTTTTTTGAGACAGAGCCTCAAGCCGTCCCCCTGGGTAGAGTGCCATGGCATCACAGCTCACAGCAACCTCCAACTCCTAGGCTCAAGCGAGTCTACTGTCTCAGCCTCACAAGTAGCTGGGACCACAGGTGCCTGCCACAACACCCGGCTATTTTTTGGTTGCAGCCGTCATTGTTGTTTGGCGGGCCCGGGCTGGATTCGAACTCACCATCTTAGGTGTATGTGGTGGCACCTTAGCCACTTGAGCTATAGGCGCTGAGCCCTTTGTTTCCTTTCATCCTACAAGATTCCTAAGAATGTTCACAGCACTTTATTCTCTCTCTTTTTTTTTTTTTTTTGACAGAGTCTCACTTTGTTGCCCTGAGTAGACTGCTGAGGCATCATAGCTCACAGCAACCTCAAACCCCTGGGCTCAAGCGATTCTCTTGCCTCAGCCTCTCGAGTAGCTGGGACTATAGGCTCCTGCCACAATGCTGGGCTTTTTTTTTTTTTTAAGAGACAGAGTCTCACAATGTTGCCCTCAGTAGAGTGCCATGTGTTGCCCTTGGTAGAGTGCTGTGAAGTCATAGCTCACATCAACCTCAAACTGAGACCAGATGTTCTGGTCTCGCTCTTGCTCAAGCTGGTCTTGAACATGTGAGCTCAGGCAATCCACTGGCCTTGGCCTCCCAGAGTGCTGGGATTACAGGCATGAGCCACCAAGCCTGCTTTCATGCCCATTTCACCATTCAGGAAGCTGAGATTCAAACAAAAGTCTCCTGCCTTAGGGCATGTGACTACCATGAAGCAGATGTGGGATTTAAACTCTGCTCTGTGTACCTCCAGTACCTTTGAGTTGTTTATTTACTGGCAGGGGAGGGCCCACCTGAGCATGCAGGAGCAAGTGGTCAGTGTCCACTCTGTTATTCAGCCTCCTGTATTGGTGAGGAATCCAGAAGCAATCCCTGCAGGACCCTGGAACAGATGTGGGTTGGGGTGGAGGTTGGAGTTGATAGAAGCACCGACAGATCTCTGGGATCTCATCCTTTTGGAACCAGCTAATATTCCTAGCCCTGACTTTGTGGGGAAAACAGGAACAAGTTCAACCCTGACCCTGGGACCTGTGAGGTCTAGCCCTGGTGCTGATGTATCATACATTCATTCAGTGGATCCAGCCTCATGCTAAGGAGACACAAAGATTCTGAAGTTTCTCCATCTTTAAGTTGCTGTAGTAACAGAGCTGAATCTTCCCAGTTTCCCTGGTCAGAGCTGAGGCTGGAGATGTCAGACCAAGAACAGTGATTAAATAGCAGGTAATAGATGCACCCGTGGCTCAGTTGGCAAGGGCACTGGCCACATACACCTGGAGTGGCAGGTTTGAGCCTGGCCTGGGTCTGCTAAGCAACAATGACAACTGCAACCAAAAAATAGCTGGGCAGTGTAGTGGGTGCCTATAGTCCCAGATACTTGGGAGGCTGAGGTAAGAGAATTGTTTAAACCCAAGAGTTAGAGGTTGCTGTGAACTGTGATGCCATGGCACTCTACCCGGGCAACAGCTTGAGACTCTATCTCAAAATAAATAAATAACTAGCAGGTAAGAAGTTGGGACTTTACCCTGAGATCCAGACTGGGTGTAGGGGCCCAGGCTTATTCCAAGCACAGGCTGAGGCCGCATGGGTTGGGAAACCAGTGCAGGGGACAATAAGAAGTGGGGGTTGGAGTTGGGAGTGAAGATCAGAGAAGTTCTTGTTTAAAGTGAGGGATGCCTAGAAGGAAAGAAAGATGAATGTCCAAGTCCTGTGGAATAGGACAAACGGAAGGATGGACAGGCGTGGGGGAGGAGAGATCTTGACAGTCTTTGATGGCCTCAGAGCGTCGCCAGCTGCCCCCAACGCCAGACCAGCGTCCCCCCTCCCCTGGACAGAGATCAGATGTTCTGGTGGCTCCTTTCCAGCCTGAGGGTGCTATTGAGGGGGAAGTTAGCAGTGAGGTTTGCTTTGATCCTCTCTAACCCGGGCTTAGGATAGCAGAAGCAGGATGGGATGGGAGGGTGCTCAGTTCTCCATGGAAATTTCCTTAGATCTAAGGATAGCTGTGTGGGGGCAGAAGAGAGGGGCGGGGTGTGTGTGGCAACAGCCAGGATCAAATCCAGGCAATCATAACCACTAAACCTCAGTTTCCCTCTTTGTACAATGGGGGTGACAGTAGTCCTATGAAATAGGATACTGGAAGGCTCAAGGGTATGTGACAGGCTTGGCGCCTGTAGCTCAACGGCTAGGGTGCCGGCCACATACACCGGGGCTGTGGGTTTGAACCTGGCCCAAGCCTGCCAAACAGCAATGACAACTACAACAAAAAAACAGCTGGGCGTTGGGGCAGTGCCTATGGCTCAAAGGAGTAGGACGCCAGCCCCATATGCTGGAGGTGGCAGGTTCAAACCCAGCCCCAGCCAAAAACTGCAAAAAACAAACAAAATAGCCAGGCATTGTGTCTGGTGCCTGTAGTCCCAGCTACTTGGGAGGCTGAGGCAAGAGAATCGCTTGAGCCCAGGAGTTGGAGGTTGTTGAAAGCTGTGATGGATGCCATGGCACTCTATTAAAGGCCACATAGTGTGACTTTGTCTCAAAAAAAAAAAAAAAGTAATGCATCTCTGGGTTCCTTGTCTCCCTTCATTCCACAAGATCCCTAGGAACTCTCATAC